TCCATATATCTGGAGATTTACTAGGTATCATTTTTCTTTTTCATCTCCAATTTAATTCTGTTATAATCAAAGTGGTCTCTATATTATTTCTGCACCTGCCCGTCGTCCCCCCCCCACCTACCACAGGGCCTTGTGCTTGCCAGGAAGGTGTGGCACCACCAAGCTAAATCCCCAGCCCTTGTCTCTATATTATTTCAGTCCTTCTAAATTTGTTACATGTTTTATATTCCACCTCATGTGCACCTGAATGTGGGTATAGTGTTTTATAAATGTCAATTAGGTACAATCTATTGAGAACACTGTTTAAATCTTCTATATCCTTATTGATTTTCTGCCTGTTGATGATGTCAATTGCTGAGAAAATGTTCCAACTCTGTATATTTTCTATTTTTCCTTTTAACTGTCATTTTTATTTGTTCTATTATTAAATGTATATACATTTAGGACTAGCATGTCTTCTCAACAAACTGATCCTCCTTTTATGATGAAATTCACTTTGTTGCCTCTTTTACATATTCCTTGTTCTGAAGGTGGTTTTTTATGATGAAATTCACTTTGTTGCCTCTTTTACATATTCCTTGTTCTGAAGGTGGTTTTGGGGGGCAGGGGAAAGGCTTACTATAAATAGAGCTACGTCAGCTTTTTCGGGGGGGGGCAGTATCAGGGTCGAACTCAGGACCTTGCACCTGCAGGGCAGGGTTGGTGTCACTGAGCTAAATCCTTGGCCCTCAGCTTTTTTTAACCAGTGTTTACAGAGTATCTTTTTCCATTCTTTTACATTTCTATTTAAATTCTTAAATGGGTTTTTGGGGGGTGTTGGTTTAAAGACAAGGTCTTTCTATGTAGCCCAGGCTGCCCTTGAACTCATGGCAATTAGAGGTGTGCACCACAATACCCAGGTATATGTTTATAAAGATATGAGTTAAAATACAGTGAGCTTAGTGTTGACAACACATAATTAGATCTTGGTTATTTATGCTGACACTCTTTCAACTGGAGTGTTAGGTCATTTACAATTTATTTAATTATCAATAGAGTTGGGCAAAATCTACTGTTATTGAGCCGGGTGTGGTGGCACACGCCTGTAATCCCAGCACTCGGAGGCTGAGACAGGAGGATCACTGTGAGTTTGAGACCAGCCTGGGCTACATAGTGAGTTTCAGATCAGTCTCAACTACATATTGAGACCCTGTCTCAAAAAAACCAAAAAACAAAACACACACACACACACACACACACACACACACACAAAACTACCATATTGAAAATATTTTTTTCTATTTGTCACATTTTTGTTTTTACTCTTCATTCTTAAAGACTAAAGTGTATTTTTAAAAATGTATCATTTCATCTTTGCTAGCTATTATCTGTTTTTTTGGGGTTTTTTTAGTGGTAAGCATATTTGACTTCTTATAATCTGCCTTCAAATAATGTGAATATTATTTTTAATCAATAAAATAGACTAGATCTTAGAAATTCATTGCAGGGGCCAGGGACTTAGCTCAGTGGTTACGCTGCCTGCTTTGTAAGCACAAGGTCCCATGTTCAATCCCTGGTACCCACCCCCCCAAAAAAAGTTACCCACAATAAGTAAGTCTGGCTCTGGTATCTAGCATAGCACACAGGTCCACCTAACTTTTCCTGACAAAATGATCTACAAGGGGCTGGTGGTACAGCTCAGTGGTAGCGTGCTTACCCAGCCTAGCATGCACAATCCCTAACACTGAAGAAAGAAAGAAAAGTCAAAATGAGCCACCAAATAATGAAGACAAAAACATTATCAATTATCTATAAATAAACCAAATCTTTTAACCTTCTAATTCACTACATATAGCTGTGTTCTCTCCAGAACCTACAAACTAAGACTTGTGAATTTCAATAATAGGAATATTACAAATTAATCACATTATCCCAAAATAGAAAAGCCCTATACTGTGCTATGATGAAATTTTACACACACACACACACACGCACGCACACACACAGAACTCAAAAGGATGTGGAGGTTTTATAGAGGGGGCTTGTTCCTCAGATTCCCAGCAAAGTCCTAAAAATAATAATGGGGGCCACTGAACTATTTTCTGCCTTCTCAGGCCATTTAAAATGTCAAACTGACTTGAATTTGGTTAAAATTTTATTAACCTCTGATACACGAACAATTTCAAATCCTTGTAGAAAAAAATCATTTCACATTATTCCATGCCTGACTGATAAAAATGGCATATACCAGAAGACCCAGGTACTCAGGAGGCCAAGGCAGGAAGATCACTTAAGCCCATGAGTTCAAGACCAGCCTGGGCAATAATATATCCAGATCCCATATTGAAAAATTAACTAATTAAATTGGGGAAGTGCAGTACTGCTTAATAAAGTCAATTCAGGGTCAGGGATTTAGTTCAGTGGTACCGCTGCCTACCTAACAAGCACAAGGTCAGTTCAATCACCTATACCAAAAAAAATCAATTCAACAGAATAGTCTTTTGAAAGATGGCCTCCTAGGGAGTGGGAGGAAAGAAGAGTAAATATTTAGGTATCAGATTCATTCATATAAAGTCTCCTGCAGAAGGACTTCAT